AAATGCACCATAAAATATCCGGTTAGATGTATGTATTTATTTAGTAAAGGAGTGCGTGGGTCTCTGCGTCCCCCCGAATCGATTTTCTAAATATTCGAATCATGATAACTGCAACAAAAAATATCTCCCCTAGCCTCATTCGCGGCTAATCACTCTGATTACTTTGAATATTCAGTTCAGGCCCATTAAATGGCTATTTGCTTATCAATTTCGTGTCAACCTATTGCCGTGCTCGCCAGCCATCCCCCACTAATTCCCTGTGACCCTTGACACTCACTCATCAATTGGTGCCTGTTGTTTGACAAACTCAAATCATTTCCAGCGGGCCTTAAAGCCCATCCAGGCATGGACTACGTGAGCCTGGTCGGAACGTCAGCAGCTCAAATGCAAAACAGGGAGGTTCGTCAAATGAAATCAAATGGTTTGCCGTGCAGCTGATTTATGTTTAATTTATAGAGCATACTCCAAGGGGCAAGGCCTGACCGGCATGCAAATAAATTGCCAGCAGACCCAATCCGATGAAGACATAAACTCAAACTGACACAGTCCGGTTCCCGAGTCCTCAACTCCAGTGGAGAAATTCGCAGGCTCTCTCCGTGTGAGTGGGAGAAAGTCAGAGAAATGAGCGGCTATTCAGCAGCCAGAGAGTTGGCTGAATGTGTGGAGAGTCGGAACATTTGACCAAGTTTTTGGTTGCGGTAGGCCCGGAAACTCGGGCCAAAAACTAGAGCAACAGACTGGCAAGCCGAACCGAAAAGCCGGCTAAGGGACATTTCGTATAAGAGTCTCGCAGGACTTTTGGTATAAAAGTCGGTATAAACTGGTGAAGGATATGACTCTCTTTTGAGAAGAGAGCGTATATATTAACAAGTACTTTTATAAGTTATTGTTTGATTTATATTTAGGTTAATTCAACCTTTCGCAAGCAAATAAAAAAATGTATGCCAGAATTTTAAAGAAATTCATATTTAAATCACAACGTACTATACCCACTAGAATATTTTACAAACACTACATGTCTTGATAACCAAATAAATGTGTGTATGTGTATATTTTCAATAAAAATTAAGCTTCAATGTGTCTAGTTTGATTTTCAATCGCTACCACGCAATACCCTCCCAAAACTGTGAGCATCCATTTCAAATAAAATACAAGGGACGCTGGGATGGCTCCGATGATTGGAGGGGGACTGGGCTGGGGAGATGCAGCAAATCAACAGTACCAAATTCAATTGCAAATAGTGAAACACATTGTTCTCGTGCCGCGCTGTTTCGTTGACAATTTTTTAGTTTTTATTATTTTTCGCTACGATTCCATGGCAGATAGAAAGGAAGAGTGGCGCTGTGGGGGTGGGCCCGAGGTGGCGGTGGTGCCAGAGTCGGAGGAGACTTCGCCGACACTATGGGAATTTATTGAAAATGCTTCGATTTATGTTTAGTGCGATATTTGCATTTTGGCTGACGAACGAAACGACGACAAATGCACCAGAAATATGTTTTCAGCTAGATGGCTGGGAAAGTGAAGGCATGGATGGCTGCGATTCGAGGGGATGCGACAATTGGTGGGTGGCTGAAAATAGAAAGAGGGTTGCCAAGGATGTCACTGGGGGAATACTTTTGTTCGAGATGCTAGAAATGATAAAACCTTGAGCTTTCTATTTCGGAAATAAAATTCCAGTTATCGGATTTTTTGTTGTGTTTTGAAATGGTTTGGGAAAAGGGCTTCGTACAATAAAACAGCAATTTAAGGAAACAACAGGAGTGATGAAATATTTTTAGGTTTAGGAATAATATAACAGGATACCATAAAAGCACTTCATACCATAATTCTTGAAAAAACTTACTAAAGACTGTAATCTCTAAAAATAGTCCCGGTTAAAAGATAAAAAAAGGACTACCAAAATGCAATTTGGGTTTGAAAAGTGATTGAAAAAAAGGCCGCAAACAAATGAAGTTGTCACCAGAGGCATCATACTCCTACATACATACCTACGTATGTACATCCATATTGGCAAGCCGCGAAAGTCGTAAATGGAAAGCCATACTGGTGTAAAGAAGGCATGGGAAAGTGGGCGGAGCAGAGAGAAAGCGGAGGTCCTGCAGCCACAGTCCAACTAACGAATAGTCTTTAATCTTCTTAAGTGCGACTGTCCTTGCATCGAGGCCAGCTGCTGTGGCAGTGGACGATTGTCATCAGGGCCGAATGTGAGTTGGTAATAAACCAGGCCAAGGAGCCAACAATTCAGCGCACTTTCAAACGCTCCTCCGCTGGAAATTTTATTTTCCCAATTTCCTACGCTCGGCAGTGGTCTGCTTCTGTCCTCGCCATATTTCTTGCCTTTCCGTATGGCGAATTAAAGGTATTTGATTGATTACCATGAATTTGACCAACTTTTCTCCAATTTCAGATAATACACTTGATTTTCCCAAGGTAATCATTCTTCCCTTCCGCCTTTGGCAAGCTGAATGCGCTTTGGTTTCTAGTGGCTCATTAATGAGGGATTAAAGAATCTAAACGAAAGATTACCCTGTCTGTGGATAAGAATAAAATTAAATCCTATAGAGTATATTTTATGCAATGTAATCTTAAAAAACCAATAAGGAAAATAAAACTTTTTAAGAGTCAATCAAATCTTTAGCCATGTACAGGGAAGAAATATTTCGATTCCTCACCTTTACAGCTCTGCTCCGGCTTTTGATTTCATCTCAAATAGCAGCAGCTTTGCATGAGAAAATAGCAGCGAGTGTAATTACTTTAATGCGACCATTTGCCGCTTTAGTTGCTGATGTAGCTGCTGCTGTTGCTCTCGCTTTTGCTTCTGCTTTAGCTACTGCCGTTGCTGCTGTGGCCAAGATAAAGATAAACTTTTGCAATTACACACCGAGGCGAGAGTGAACGAAGCAGAAACAAGCAATTGGCGGGGGACGAGCAGGCGCAACCCGATAGCATCGAATCGAGTTTACTTTTAGTGTGTTTCCCATTGGCATTGGCTAATTAGCTCGACGCCACCTCACCTCTGCCTTAACTTGGCCCAACCCCTGCACCGGCCAGCCCGTACATTTAAAGACCAAACGAGCCACACTGAAATTATGCTCACTTAAATGGACTCTAAAGTGAGAGGACTTTAAAACTTTTCCACAACTTGCGAGCGTTGAAAATATTCCTGTTAACATATGCAAAGCAAAAAAAGGAACAACAACCGGAGAACTGAGAACTGTGCTCTGGCTTAGGCAGCCCCGTCTAAATAAACTTTTGATGACTTTTTGAAAGTTTTACATTCCGCCAGAAGTAGAACGCAAATTACATGGGCCAGTCTTACTTACGACCAACAATAACACCGACATCCGTAAGGAGCTACGCCAAAAGATATAAAGTTACGACTCGCATTATAACATGATGGTCGAGACTTGGGGACCCCTCACTAAGTGGGTGCAACAAATGAGTCGAAATTGTGACTAATTGGGCCACAATTTGAGGAGAGTGCAAGTAATGGGTCAAGAAGAGAAGTGGTTGCCGAAAAAGTTGGCAAATAAACTTATGTAAGTGGCTCTAGAAGAGCCCAACAATTGGAAGTTTAAAATTAACAAGATCATGTAACAAATCTATCAATAAGCTATACTTTTTCAACACTGTAGAGGCCTATTAAAAATCCACAATTCCCGCCACAGGCGACTACTGAGCTGGACTGTGCCATCCAAAAGATAAGCCCTCACCACACGGTCACATGCAAAAATTCGTGGGCATTCCTATGTTTTTCCTGCCACTACCACTGGCCGCCGGACCCACCAAACATTTTGTTTGGACAAAAATTTTGTGTGATTTCCCCACGGAAATTGATGATGGTGTTTGCTGAGTCGCAAACGTGTTGGCGGAGTTAAGCGGAGTGCAGGTTGTGGGCCGGAGCGCCGACTGTGCCGGGCCCACCTACAGTGAATTTGTCATTTCCAGTTCTAAACGTGCGGACAAATACTGAATCAGTTGTGCTTTCAATGCTGGGGCTGCGAGGGAGGCCCAAGGAGGAGATTCACGGAAGCCCGGCCATTCCAGCTAGTGGATGGAGCCCGAAAACCCGAACCTAGCCCAGCCAGCTCGATGACAATTCAGTGTGCGTTGATTTTGGAGATGATTCCGTGATTGGTGGCACGAGAGGTACATTGAAAACAAGGATTCGTTTTAGTTAAATATTCTTAATAGAGTGTAAAATAAATGGTTTTTCCAATTTCTAAACTAACTAGATAAATGATATAAATCAGTTAACAGTTCCATGTAACTTATAAATTTTTTATAGAAAAATCACCCACTCACGAGAGACTCACGCTGTCTCTGGTCCTCCTTGTTGGCCTGGCTGTCAGCAGCCATGGCAACGGACCTGAGCCTGGACCCGGCCAGACTCGACTCGAGGACAAGAGCACAGTGCGTGTCGCTTTAACAAACCGGAAGTTACATGCGATGTAATGAAAAACGACAGGGCGGAAGTCGCTGTGGGTGTCCCAGCTCACATGACCAGCCCGGGTCGGCCAGGCCTTCCCGGTCCGGAGTCAGTCGGAATCTGGCCCGGGCTCTATCCGAATGAGTTTGCTTTAACGCTGCTGGTATTTATAGACAATTGGTTCGTGATTGTTGACAGGGCCCAGAATTGCGCTGAACTCTCCGCGGACCATCCACTCGAATCGAATTGACTTCACTCCGGTTCTGGTTCTGCTCTGCAATGGCAATTTTTTGCATGCCTCATAAAAACGGTACGAAATATGGTTAGTCGGCAGTACAGAACTGAATTGGGTGGATGGGAGTATGAGTTGGGTGAACTGCATGCAGGAAGTAGCGACTATTTTCCCATTTAGGGAATAGGGTTAGGCGGCCTACCAGCCATGGTTGATACTTAGTGACCTAATCCGGAGTTCAGTAAATTAAAGTTCTACAAATCCTCTGCTCACCTCAATATCCGCTAAAATAAAACATTTAACCTAAAACTTTTAACAAGATTGCCATGAAAAAAATATATTGATTGGAAATTTGAAACAAAAATAAGAATCTTTCTCAAAATTTGTGAGCTCTATTTTTGGTGTATTAATTTTATTTGCTCAAAAAATGTCACGCCACTCGTCTCCACAAAGGCTAGAATCGATGGACAAAATCAGTAGTAGCAGTTCAAACACTTCAGTTTATAATAAGCTGTCAACCACGTTGGAAATCGAGCAGATTGTGAAGAAAACTTTGGAGAAGATCCAGTCGATTTCAAAATATGGTTGCGCAAACGTGGATACTCTTATGGATCTAATAATGCCAGCTGTCGGACATAAATTGATGTCATTTGAGAGGCTTCAGCAAGATATTACCAGTATCAGAAGCAATCTTGAGTCTTATATGAAGCACATCGATACTGTGGATAAAGATATAGCTGACATTTATTTGGACTTGCACACTATCTACAGAAAGATTGAGCGTATTGATGACTCCACTAAGCTGTGTCCTGCCAAAAGGGAGGTATTGAATAAACGGGTGAAAGAATCTGAGGACCTGCTCAGGCGTTCGCGGCACTATCTGTCCAACGATCCTAAACAGCTGAGTTCCGAGCTCAATGAGCCTCCAATGGAGCCCCCTACTGATCCAAAGGTAGGTGACCTTTGAGGTTTAAAGGCGAAGTGACTTCTAAGGAGGACTGTTGCAGTAGACATTATAAGAACATAGTCACGGATCGGGACAAGAGACTTACTCCAACCCAAGCTAAAACTAAAAGGTTTAAGGACAAAGTGACTTCAAAAGAGGCCTCCGACAGTAGCCATCATTAGCCACGCATTTCTGCCCAATATGATGCTGTCCCAGCAGTCTGAGTATTCAGACTAGGATGTCATCCGATAAATAATAGAAACAAAAAACCTATAGATATGATGGATTTTTTTTTCTTTAGTTCCAGTAAAAATTATATTGTGAAATAGTCAAAGAGATAATTTAAGTAAATCATAAACTCCAGATCCATAATGTCTTTTTCTTAAACAGGAGTTTGGCCTTGAAGCCAGCCAAACACAAATACCCAAATCATCCTTATTACCTCATTTAACCCCTGGATAACCCAAGAACCACCTTTTTTCAATTGCTGATTTCACTTACTCCTCGATTGTGTTTTTCTTATTCATCTGTTTGTGCGTTCGATTGCTTTGTAAACAAAGCAAAGTGCAAATTTATGTGGTAAACCTCTTGAAATGGTACATCCAGCCATCAGAGGAGGTGCCCTGAATGCAAAGCTTTGATTGTTACTTAAAATGTATCTTGAACTGTACCTTATCTCGCTCTGTCTGCCCCGAATCTGAATCCGAGTCCGCAACTGTTGTGCGAATGTAAATGTTGGCAAAGTGGCAAGTCAGGTGGTTTCGGTGTTACACTCTTCCATTCCATTAGCCGCAAGTTAAAGCTTTGTCGGGTCTGATGATTGTTAAAGTCGAATTTTGCATTGGCAGTCGGTCGGAGGAGATACCCGGAGGCGGTAGAATATTTTCCATTTGGCTTGATTTGAAAGCGAGCCACAACTGAGCGGATTTCGTAGTTGGAATAAATTTTTCATTCTGATCACGATTTGATATATGAAACCATAGATGTCCCCATAGATGGATGTCATTGTTTAGGTCGGATGCAGGTTAATTCGATTATCGTCAATCCGAGAGTGGTGGCTCTTAATTGATTTGAGCAAATTCAGTAAACGAGATTAATTGATGAGTGGAAAGCCAGTGCCCCAACCGATTACCTCACGTCACTGTCACTATCCCAACAATTCAAATTGTGTCTATGGCCATTGTGCTCTCCGCCCTGAATTCCTGAATTGTGTTGTCTTTTTTACTGCTGCCAGTTGTGTGCACTCAAAATAATAGAGCCGAGCACAGCAGAACACAAATACTCGAACGACAGGGGACAAAACACTGAAAAACTGAACTGAGATCTTATAAGGACAAGAAGAGAAGGAGCAGAGTAGTAGCAGGAGTAGCAGGATCTGAGGTTGGAGGTCGGAGGACCTCTGACTGCTGGTGCAGCCTGTGTAATAGCAGCGTTTACTCAATTTTAGTACGTAGTAAACGTATTTCTTTTATGGCCCGTAGGTTATTTGTGCATCGCTCTGACTCGCTAGCACGGTCCACATTCCGGGATGCGAGCGCACTCAGACAAACAATTCAGAAAAAGATATATATCCCTGACACAATAAACGAAGTTCGTTTCCTGAGTGGCCATTTTACTGCGAGGCCTTTTCATTCGGAGTGCCCTCCACGGTCCTTCCCACTCAACCCCTATCTTGGGGCCAGAACTAAGCAAATATGCGCACACAAATATGATGAAGTATCGGGGGGACTGGGTCTGGGGTATGGGGTAAGAGACAGGGTATTTGTGCTCCTGCTTCTGGTTTGCTTTTAATTGCTTTCAAGTAAACAGAATGCCCCTTGGTAAATGGGAACATAAATATAATTGCCAGGTTGGCCAGCATTGCTTTAAAATTTTCCATCTCGAGGCCATATGTGCCAGAGTCAAACATTTGTTTGACTAGCTTCTGTCCCGCAAACACTTTACTCCGTGCCTCTTATTTTGTTTGGGAACGCCAAAGGTGGGATTTAATTTAATGCCATGATTTGGCAGATTACATATTTACGCCAGTGATTATTGAGGTCGAGATCAACTCATGCATTTAATTAGACGCTAAACTAGTCAACAAGCTTGTTTAACCAAAGCGTATCCTGATTCCTCCCACACATCATAATTGATAAAAAGTGTTGCAATCGTACCCGCATTATTAATGATTATTTAGACGAGTTTTTTAATAGCTGCTTGAAACGTAGAATGGGAAACGAAGTGCCAGCTGCATTAGGCCATAAATTTACCTAAAAGTAAACAGTAAACATTTTATTGTCGCTTTCCAATGTCCCTCCATTCAACTGTTTTAAATAATTATTTTACATTTTGCATTGTTAAGCTCGCGTTTTCGTGTTACCATGCGGGTGGTTGTGGAGGAGAGGGAGGCTTTTGTTTGTTGTAAAGATTTGCACGATTTGCATTTGTGCCAAAACGATTCATGAATGATTCATGTGCGCCAGACCAGAAGCAGATGTCGACAATACTCATCCCTCTTCGATTTATGCATCGGGAACGTGCCATGATGATGGCGGAGATTTAAAAGGATTTTCAATTTGTATGAAAATACATATATTAAAGGTGTTTTTTGTTTAATTTTTCGTGAATTTCGTTTAAGAAAAAGAGCATACATCTATCCTCGCAAAACCATTTTGGCATGGTCATGCCTAGCAAATGTTCTTAGAACGTTCTACTTAAATATTTAGTACCAAGTCGATTACCCCAGGACCGTTTCCCGCAAAACGCCGAATCGAGACGAAGATGGAGATGGAAGCCGGCTGCCTGACAGCCAATCGCACCAGTCAGCGTCAGCAAATGCAAATTTAATGGTCTATGAAAAAGGTAGCCGGGCCAATGCTTTTAACCACATCCGCTGCTATTAGCTCACTGCCGGAGCCATTGCCGTAGTATATCGGTGATGGTGGAGAACGGAGAAAGCTGAATAACAATGGAAAATGACGCCAGTGGAAATGCGAAAATCAATGCGCATTAGTGGATGGTGTTATTTTACGTTCTTACCGAGAACTGGCTGGCTGCAACCCATCACCTTCTTGGGTAACCTTTGTTCAATTATGAATTAGCCCATACCGAAGTAAAATCCAGCTCAAACGTTTCTAAGAATACAACTGTCCTAATTGTTCGTGCAATCAATAGTTTTAGCTCTTTGCAAAATAATCGCATCAGATTCATTTATTTTTAGCCGACTTTTACGTTAATTGTACTGACTGATTTTTGCCAAGAGAGGCTAAAATTACACCAACCAAAAAATATGAGCTATGAGCTGAAATGAAACTCACAAACAAATGCTGAGTGGACGGAAGAGAGACGAATTCTCTTTAGTTGCAAGCCACAGAGGGAATTTGTTTTTGCCGCTATGTCATGTGGCACTTCCTGCCGTGTCCTGGCATTCGTGCATGCAATCCAAAACCCTCATAGATACAACCATTCACCTCCGCAAACACACATACAAATATATACTAACAGAGACAGACAAACACCCATCGAGGGGCAGTGCATTGAAGCGCAAATTAAGCTTGACAAGCAAAAATTAAACTGTGTATCTGTATAGGTGGGAGTATCTTGCAGATACAGATAGTCGTGTATGTGTATGTGTATGACTACTCATGTATCGTTGTGTGCTTGCTTCTCCATGCTTGTTTGGCAAAATATAATTTCTTCATGTTCAGTTCATTAAACAGAGCAAACCAACTTGGAAAAGCACTTACCATGAATAGATTTTAAGGGGTTCGACTGAGATACTGCAGTTCTGCTGGAGAAGCCAGCGAGTGAAATCGGGGGACTTCAAATAAATATGCAAATTGCAATTGCGAGAAGGAAAAATGCAAGTGTATGTGAAATATCACTGCAGCTCTAATGAACTATTCGTGTCTCCCTGCTTTGATTTTATTTGTTTTATTTAAAGATAATAATACGCCTGCTGCACATTAGACAACGCTTTGAAATAGAGAACTAACAAACGTGGTCAGCGTTCATTAATTTCATAGTTTTATGTGGTCAATTCTGGCAGGAAATTCTTGTTTTTCTGCTAATAAACTTTAATATCATTTATTTGAATCAAGTTTAAAGTGGTTGGCTATAGATAAATCAGATTTCTCGCTTCTGCCATTCAATAAATACTCGAATTGCTTTGAAAAACAATGAGTTATAGTTCCCCTGATTGCGCTCAGACTCATTGAATTAAAACACAGATAAAATATGAACTGGGGCCTAAAAAAGCCTTGTTTTCATCAAACCAAAGTAAAAGCCTTAGCGGGATAAGAGATATTATCGCTTATATTACACTTTGGGTATAGAAAGTGACAAGGCGAAATCCATTGTACCGATTTCGTGGCGTCAAATCACTTAAACGCAACCCAGACAAAACGAAAAGTCTGCAAAAAAATAACCTCAACCATGACCAAAAGCAATTCTCAACAATGACGGCCAAAAAATGATTAACTCTGTTGTTTCCACGCAGAATTAAGGAGTGCGTGTTTTGGTTTGGGCTTTCGGTGTTTTATACCGAGGGCATCAACTTTGACATTCCGTGATTATGAGTCTTGAGAGTTTCTTTGGCACTCTCTTTCAATGCTCATGACTTTTGCACTTTGACGAAGTTGATAAAACTAATATTAGGCGGTGCCGACAAACCAGAGTTCCTTTCATCCTAAACTGCAACCTCATTTCTGCCTTCTTATCAGTGCCGTGCTATTGATAGGCCAGTCTCAACGTTAAGTGCATGACACTCATCCTGTATAAATAGCAAAAGGTCATGGTTATTTATGGCCTTACTCTGCAAAGGCCAACTTTATTTGGATACTATCGATACAGCTAGAGCTTAGTTGGAATACAAAAATCATAGCATACATTTCTGGATATTTTTTACATACCATTCGCTTTCACCTCTGACGAAAACACTCAATACTCATCATAGCCAAATCGTTTTGGCCTGGTTATACAGAGCGCCACACAAAAAAATCTCATCTGGCTATATTCCTGGGTAAATACTCACTAGACAAATGCTATCTATATGCAATCAGCAAATATGTACTCAAAGGACCCAGGCCCAATCCTACTAGGAGTGTATGCCCCATCATCTTGTCAATGCATTATGCAGGCACTTTTCCAGGCAAGTGGAAATTATGTCAAAACAAAACGTGCAAGTCAAGTCACTCGTTAGTCTGAGAGGCATTTCAATTAAAGGCTCGTAATGTAGAGGCACAAGCCTCTGAAGAAAAAACACATCCAGAAAAATACACAGAAATGAGAATTGTGCGCACAAAAGTTCAACTGATATGATATGCAACCGAGAAGGGGTGAAATGTGCAGTCAGGCGAGTGAAAGGAGGGTATCTGCCTTGA